ACCAACAACGCATCTTAAGCTGCCTAACTATACTATCTACAGGAGGGACGAGGTCAATCCTCAAGGGATCGCTTATAGAGGGACAGCGATTCTGGTGAGGAGAGACATCTTCCACCAAGAGCTGGACCTACCAGACTTCCAGACGATGCGTTCAATCGGCATAAAAATGGAGGCGGCGGGCGAGGAACAAAGAATCTTTGCAGCATACCGCCCGTCAGGGACTCCATTTCACTCCTCAGACAACCGGACGGTAATGGAAGGTACGACACCAACCATCATCGCCGGGGACCTGAACGCCAAACACCCGGCGTGGGGGTCAAGATTGATCAACCCGCCGGGTAGTGAACTATACGACGATGCTGAGAAACATAATTATGACGTTCTAGGTCCCGAGGAACCGACACACATCCCTTCCGACCCTAGGAATCGTGCTCACTAGGAACGTCAACTACCCAGTAGCGGTAGAAGTGCTGTACGACCTAAATACACAGCACCTCCCGATTCTGATAACCCTTGGCACTAAGGCAGTGACTTCGCCGCCCAAAGCTGTTAAGACCGAGATCGACTGGAGGCTCTACTACCAACACCTGCAGGAGAGACCTCCAGCCCATACACCGATCCACTCAGCGGACGACGTAGAGGCAGCTGCAACCAGAATAACCGCGAGCATGCAGGAGGCCCTCAACGCGGCCTCTACGATCGCCCCTCTCTCGGGGAGGAAAGAGGAATTGCCGCTGAACATACGCGTGCAGCTAAATTATAAAAGAGCGCTGAGAAAGCTCTGGGCGCGCATTCGCTGCCCCAGAGTAAAAACCAAATTGAACACCCTATCAGACGAACTGTCGGTTGCAATACAGGCCCACAGAGGAGAGGCCTGGGAGCGACGCATTTGGAAGGTTGATGAACATCACGCGTCGCTCTACAAATTGAACCGGCAGTTAACGAAAACCCGACCACCTGTTTGCCCGCTGACCAACAACGCGGGCGAACAACGTTACGATGCCAAGGGCAGAGCGGATATCCTAGCTGAGCACTTCGAGGAGCAGTTTATGCCGAACCCAGTAAGTGCGGAGTTCATGGAAATCCACACCCGGAAGGAGAGCCGCGTGCAGGAGTTCCTGTCGTCGCCCGCGCCACCGCTTGCAGGAGAGTGGTTCATCTACCCCGCTGAACTGCGGAGGACAGTAACCCGCCTGCACCCGAGGAAAGCGCCTGGGCACGACGGGATTACCAACGCTGCACTACGACAGCAGCCCAATAGAGTCCTTGTAGAGATAGGTCGACTCTACAATGGCATATTGAGGACATCCCACTTCCCGGAGGACTGGAAAAAGGCAAAATCATCGTCTTGCCGAAACCCGGGAAGGACAGGCGCGACAGCTGCCAACTACAGGCCGATCACGCTGCTACCGCATATAGCTAAACTGTGCGAAAGATTATTGCTAAGACGTCTCCGCCCGTGCATCCAACTTCGGGCGGAGCAGCATGGATTCAGGAGGGATCACTCAACAGCAACACAGCTGACCAGAGTGCTGCACCTGCTTGCGGCCGAGCACAACCGCGGCCGCATATCGTTGGGCGTCTTTCTCGATATCGAGAAGGCGTTCGACCGGGTGTGGCACGCTGGATTACTCTACAAGTTAGACGATCAGACCAGTGTCCCTCCTGCTATATTGCGGCTAGTGGCGTTCTTCCTCGTAGACAGGAAGTTCTACGTCTGTGTAGAGGACGCCGAGTCCGCAATAAAACCGATAAGAGCTGGTGTGCCACAGGGCAGCTGTCTGTCTCCAGTCCTGTACGCGGCTTACACCAATGACATACCTACCCTGGCAGGGCATCTGCACGAATGGGAGGACGACGTCGAGCTGGCGCTGTTTGCGGATGACAGCGCATACTTCACGTCATCCAGAAGAGCCCATATCGCCGCTGCCAGGATGCAACGTCTGCTGGACCTGCTGCCACCATGGTTGGATGAGTGGAGGATGGCCGTCAATGTTAGCAAGATGACCGCTCTACTCACCCGCCGCTATAGAAATCTACCACCACCGCTAACCCTCAGAGGCCAGGAGATCTCATATGAGAAGGCCGTGACCTACCTTGGGTGCCGGATCGACAGGATGTTGCACATTTTTATCTTTGACCTTGTTATCCGCAAGGCTCGATGTGCGCGGGCGATGCTCCGTCCTGTCCTGACATCCAAGTTACCGACAAAGTCGAAGTTGATCATTTACAAAACGTACATAAGACCCCTGCTAACATACGCTGCTCCGGCCGTGTATGCACTCCTAAGCGATCATCAGAATCGGCGTCTTCAGGCCCAGCAGAATTTGTCATTACGAACCATAGTCGGTGCGGGTCGCTACGTCCGGAACGACGTCATAGCGGCCAACCTGAAGATAGAGAGCCTACACGAATTCGTGGTCCGGCTGGCGCGCGGTATGTTTGACCGCGCCGACAACGGGCTACATGAACATCTCAACGGCTTTGCGCCGTTGCAGTCACGGCCGCCGGACGGGTGACCCTATCCAAGAGAATTCCTCCCTATATAGATTAGGGAGTCGAGTAAACCCCACAATGCCGCAGAAAGGCCAACTTCGACAAAATAATTGTGCTTAAACACAATTATCAGGACAACCTCCTTTAATGATAAATTTAGACGACTGCGACAAAAGTCGCTAATATAATACGCCTTTTACCATGTCCGGGTAAAGGGGTAATCCCGAGGCCCGAAACCTGCATGGCACTATGCCTTGCAGAAGACAACAACGACGACCCGCTTGCCGAGCGTGACCACTATAGCAAATATGTGGCATAATGAGGCGATCTATGGGGGAGATTTGTCCCCCATAGATCGCCGGGTCACGGGGGACTGAAGTGATTGACGTCAAATACGTAAAATAAATAAAATTAAACGCGATAAAACCCGTAAAATAGTTTCATTCCATGTGTTGTGTAGAGTTTGCGTAAATATAAGAAATTATAATAAACGTACCTAATAACTACTTAGTTGTGATTTTAAATGATCAGTTTTATAAAATGAGCAGTGTTATATTGTTTTTATTTTATTGATTTATAAATATAATATAGTTATTATATAAGTACATAAGTAGTAATTTATTATAATTAATTAGTGTTTGTACTATGTAGGAGATCGACTTTGAACTTTGCTTTACTATTTGTTGAGTAATTTCATCCTTCAAATATACAATTGCCGGTGCGTTAGCCTCGCTAAAACTCAAAACCACTTGACCGATTTTGATGAAATTTTTTATGTGTGTTTGAGTGGTGGTTGGGTGGTTTAGATTCAAAATTAGACCTGGAAGTGGCGTTGTTCAGAAGTCAGTTAAGTCGAGATCCAGAAGTTATATCTTATTAGTGCTGGGGCACCTTTAAGCATTTATAATACATAAAAGATATTTAACATACTTCATTCTCTCATCCATAGGCAGCTTTTTACTACTATGCTATTATAGATTTGACGAAAAAATAAATCTGCATATATTTTCACTCCGCCCTACTCTTCTATCATTTATGAGAGGGTTTTAGGGCAAGGAAGTACGAAACCGGTGCGGTTCACTAGTTGCATAGTTTGTCTACATTGAAACTAACAAACCACGCCACGCTTCAACAGTTTGGTCTATATTACGTCTCATTGTAAGTTATATTTTAAACAGTAAGCTTATAAATTCTTAACCCTTAATGCACCACCTTGAGTGCACGGGACTCACCGCCACTTTTAAACAACAAAAAAAAGATTCTTTTTAGAGTTTAGACTTGCGCTTTCTAGTAGTAGTTACCTTTCTGCAGTGAGGCGCAGGACCATAGAGTAATATATACAGAAACGCAGGACGTAGAGGTGAGCGGTCGCGTGCGCACGTCATTCGGAAAGGTAAAAATGATCGAATGTGAGGCCTAGGGACTCATGGTGGAGTGTTGTGTGACAAAAATGGATTTACTGATTTTTTAGTTTATCTATGTTAATTTTGTTTTAGGCTTTTACTATGGAATATAAACGTAGAAGGATTGAATCGGTAAACATTTCAGATGATTTAGGCTCAGATATCATAAATGATTGGCTTTCTATAGAAGATATGGTAAACGAGCATGCGGTTCACCTGATGTTAAGTGACTACCGCCGCCCATGAACATCCGCAGCACCAGAGGAAGTGCAGGTACGTTGCCGGCCCTTTAGAAAGGAGTAAGCTCTTTTCTTTTCTTCAATGAGGCTGCAAGAAGATGATTTACTGGGCGAAGATGAAGAGATTGGCGATGGCAGCGGCTATACAGCTGAATGTATTCGTGAGTCACATTCCGATGACGAAGTCGCCGATTATATTGTGAGTGATCACGACATCAATTCCGAATGCTCCGATACTGAAGAACAGGATAGTAACTTGGACAACATACCATGCCTTAGACATGCCTGATCAACCAAGTACATCGCAAACTGATGATATTTTACAGAGAGATTAGCGCAAATATTGCTATACTTGCAATCATAAAAAACGAACAAAGACTGCTTATCTTTGCGCTGTCTGTAAGAAGCCAATCTGCCTTACTTATTCCAAAAATATGCCAAGAATGTGTAAAACATTAGTATGTTAACTTATTGCACATTTTGAAATTTTGTATAGTGCCATTATTAATTATTTTTATTTTTAATTACCTCATAATGTCTTCTATAAGAAAAATATTTTATTTTGTCCAAGAACTACAACATTTATTTTTTCTTCTGTAAGTCGTAGCAGACGATTTTTATGATTGTTAATTTTAAAGTATTTGCTAACTTAAGAAATGTGCATGTTAATTTGAGTTTGTCACAAAATGTTACCGGATATGTACGAATTATTGTGTTTCCTAGAAGTCTAATAAATAACATCTTTCGTTTAGTTTTTAATTAAAACATTAAAACATGAGTCCCGGGGACTCATGGTGGTGATAAGTGATATTTTAATTAGGGTGGTAAATCAAGGGTTAAAGTTGTTTTTCGTCTTCACTAGATAACGCTGTGGTGCTTCGTGCTGTATCTGACGTGGCACGTGCCCTTTATCGAGATGAGGGTAGACGACTTGGAGCAGCCTGCACTCAAGTACAGAGAGGTATACAATTACTATGAATACAACTTATGTTGAAAATGTCAGCACATGAAAATTGTTTGGAAAAAGTCATTCTTCTTTGTTCTTCTACTCGGTCCAAAAAAGTCATAAATGACGACATTATAGTTCCTAAAAGATAGCTTGATCTCTGCGACAGCTGTCAGTAAAAATCACGCCTATGATGTCCTGAATTTCTTAGTAGTACAGACACACTGACCTCTATATATATAAGTACGCTGGACTGGCTATAAACCGTGACATGATGAAGCGATTTGATTTCCGCCATTTTGGCGCTGACAGCAGAAGTGCACGTCCACGGAACTAATAATAGGGATAAGACAGTGTATCAAATTATATCGACAAAAATTCTATACCCTACCTATACCTAAATAAATAGAATGGACTCTATGGATAGATAGACTCTACCCGTAACGTCCATTCTATTTATGTATCATATTAATATAATGCCATTATCATTCATCGTCATTAAAAACCCTTCACAAGTCCACTGCTGAAAATAGGCCTCCCACAAGGAATGCCAAGTTATAGAAAGTTATATATCATTATATTTCAATGATTGTATTATTATTCCTAATTATACAATATAACTGTTCCACATTTTTAACGATATTTCCACAATTATTTCTTCTGCGGCAGCAATATACCGGGTACGAGCTAGCAAGATAATATAAAAAAATTAACTTTGAATTACATAGTTATCAGTTATTTACAACGTCATTTTCGAAATTAAAATTACAATATTAAAATAATAACTGAAATCATCATACAGTCCTACTTTCCGTGGTATCGTCCCAAGAATGCTGGCTACGTGTCTTCTCTGAATGGCTATACTTAGCATTCAACGAGGAAGCAACAAACTAAACAACTTCTTATTACCAGCAGTGATGATCAGTCGCAGATACAGTTTTTTAGGAACTACACCGCACGTGCACCCTACGGAGTCAGTAGTATCTACAGCAAATAGCACAAATATGTACTCATACTATTACATGCCTGCAATTGAGAGAGAATTAAATCTCTAGATCGCACTTAATAAAACCCCATGGTGTTCTACCTCCGCCGCAAATTCGCAGGGCCACGGAAACGCTTTCATGCACATCCGCGGCCCCTCTGGCGCCAGCCGCCCAATGGCAGCCCCTCCTTAGTTGCTGACTTCTCGTCCCCGTTTTCTTTCTCAGATAAGGCGCACCAGAAACAAGCCACACTGCCCTTCGCGGCCTCTAACTCCACCTGCACTACGGACTCCACGAGCCCGATATGTGAATGGAGCCAGGGAAAAACGAGCACTTGGAAACATCAAGTGGCGCAGCCTCACCAAATTCGCGAAAGATAGTCGAGTGGCCCATCGCCAATCGCCATACCAACACTCCTCTTCCCTTACTACTCCACCTCAACTACAGCTGTACAGGGAGAGGAATCTCCTCTAGCCGCAGCCCACTAACACACATCCAACGTGGCTCGACATCAACAGGCGACCTTTCGACACTTGGCTGTGGCCCTTGAGTTTGGTGGAAAATGAGGAAAGAAGAAATAAAAAACATTACAAATAATAATCTAATACTTTTATAGTTACTGGTGCTGATATTACTAGAAAATATTGTCGATATACTGCACTTTTTCAAAGTGGTGCAGTTCTCATGTCTAATAAAACAGTCGTCTGTGAAATGTTTCGAACAAATATGATCATTTTGTTTCGGACGGCAATTCACAATATTTATGCTTTTGAAGACATAATTTTAGTCTAGGTTCTGTTGGAAACCTGTTAATTAATAAACATTTGATAATCATCTGTTGTTGGCGACTTTGTTTGTTAACAGATATGGGTAGGAAAGAACATCGATAAGTATTATAGACAAGGAACTCGACAACCCTATTGAATGTTATTGTTTATCAAAACTCAGTAACATACAGCCAAACATGTTGGTATATATAATATTAAGATTAGTAACAAAATTTTAAGTACTTATCAAATAGTTTTAATTTGTTAAACATTAGCTGCAAATTCACTTACTTGTGTAATGTTATACGACTTCTCTTTTGAGTTTTACAAATTACGCTCGTTCTCATTATTATTCAAAATAATTTTTAATATGTAACTAATATTATACACAATCAAACAACATAAAATACTTTCGTTTTTTAGTTTAAAAGTTCAAAATTGAGACTTTTTAAATATGACAATATAAATAAGACAACAGACTTTGGCATATTATGTCAATTTTATTTTTCAAGACATCCTTTAGCGGCGCTTCAAATTGGCACAGTCATTTTGTATGGTATAGCCAGTCCAGCGTACTTGTATAGAGGTCAGTGTACAGACAGTACCTGTCTATGTCATACTTTATGGGCATGCCGGCCTAATTAGTGCATGCCCATAAAGTATGACATTGACAGGTACTGTCTGTACTACTAAGAAATTCAGGACTTCATAGGCGTGATTTTTACTGACAGCTGTCGCAGAGATCAAGCTATCTTTTATGAACCATAACTTATCGCATTCTAGGGAGGATTTTCCCTAATTATCAAGCATGCTGCAACTTTGTTATGGTAGAACATATGGGTCAATTCGACCGGGCAAGGACCACGCTCTCACAGAACATCAGCGTCAAATATACAACGCATTTGCATTTTGAATCTTAATCGAGTATGTATGTGGGCCACAAAATCCACTTACTACCAGGTGGACTGTGTGCTTATTTGTCTCCTTTATTTTATATAAGAATACTAGGACTTACTGCCTAAATTAAACAACGTAAAGAAAGTAATGATTTCATATATGTATGCGAAGACCACACGTGTAAATGAAACTCGTTTTTAGTACGAATTTTATATTCATTTACGCGTATATTATAGCGTATACTGCGTAGATCGTTCCAAAATTAGTAATTTTAAACCGAAGGTTATCTATGACATTGGGACGTCGAATACATCAATCCCTGGACCCTGTACCATGGGTGTTGTAAAGTACTGAAAACGTCTGGAATATAAAATCTATATGTATATGTACTATAATATATGAGATAAATACCAATGAGTCATCATCGCATCACGATATATACTCCTTTCTCGACGTAGACACCCACTAAGAAAGAATATTGCAAAATTCAACCCTTGAGGGGGTGAAAGAGGGTGTTACATCTAGTAAGTGAATATAAACGATAAAATCCGTAAAAACTAGTTTCATACTAGCTTGCCAGGCAGACGTTGTTCTGCCCTTTTCAACGACCCTTTGTCATGTCCTATTAAAAATCCTTAAATTCGCAAAAAAAAAAATGGTGGGTCACTCATGGGCAAATAAACTATCCTATCTCTCAAATTGGGTCAAACTGAACACGGTGTGCAAATTTGATTAAAATCGGTTAAGTGGTTTAGGAGTCCATCGCGGACAAACAACGTGACACGTAATTATTTATATATATATATATATATATATATATATATATATATATATATATATATATTAAGATAATCACGTATAGAAAGTTTAAATATTAATGTAATATATTCTCACCTCACAGCAGCCTCCAGCGTCAACGCAGAAACCGGAACCACCGAAGCAGGAGCTAAAGCACGGCAAGTGTTTTCACATGCCTCGCTCCCGTTGTCCACCAGAGGGCGTGAAGTGCACGCGTGTCGACCCAGTCTCCGTGTTCTGTTGCGATGTCGATAGCTTCCGGCTCAAGGAGGCGCTGGCGATTGTTAGTGAGTGGATTTTAAAGACTTTCAGTGTTTCTTTCTTTCTTTTTGACAAAAAAAAACGTTACCCCAATACTAGGATTGTTCCTGTATCGTGGAGGCAGTTTATAAATATAAATCGCACAAGGACAAACATCAAAACCCGGAACAGCTACTTATAGGTCACACAAATATAGTAAGGGAGGGTAATATGGTCATCCGGTTAATATTGTCACTTATAACTCAAAAACTACGTTCCTTATGATACGATAGCTCTTCATCAGTCAATCAAATAATAAAGGGTCAAGGACGCAGCTTTATCGACGCCATTTTAACAGTTGATATTATAGTAAATATTTTAGTCTCTTTATATAAAACTCCGATATTGATATGTTTATGATTATCGATATATCGAAAATTATATATTAAAAATAAATTTAAAAAAATATCAACAGTTTCAGTTTGAAATGATCAGTTGGAATGATCAGTTGAACTGACCGTGTGTGGCGTCCATTAATATGGTGTAATGTAGTTAGTTTTTCTTAAATTGATTTTTCGAAGTGTCCCTAATTATTGCCAAAGCTTATTTACTATTTTTTTTGAATTTATTAGTTATAGTATACGACTTTGTTTTTGTCTCCGTCCTCCTCCTAGTTTTGGTTTTACAGGGCGGCAAAGCTTAAGGTTACCATATTACCCTCACATTTTTTTTATTTATTTATTTATTTATTTATAACAACCTTTTTTACATATGTTCATTGATTCCCTGGTCCCTGAGCTAGTGTAACTGTGTTTCAGGAACCAGTTCCTCCCCCTTAAAGTTAGCCTTGTCAAAAGGTCAATTTCTATATAATAATAATAATTTAGTTAGTAAGTTAAACAAGTACAGAAATATAAATAAGAAATAAAAAGAATGTTATTTTAAGCGCTGTGTGTGTGTGTGTGTGTGTGTGTGTGTGTGTGTGTGTGTGTGTGTGTGTGTGTGTGTGTGTGTGTGTGTGTGTGTGTGTGTGTGTGTATGTGTTCGTGTGTCGGTGTGTGTGTAAGTGTGTGAGTGGGTGTGTGTGCTTTGGAATATATAATACATACCTCACTTGTTCCGGGATTTGGACCTGCGGCACACAGAGCCGTTTAGATTGCTTGTTCTTCTTCTTTCTCATCACACCCTAAAATGCCAATATCGGACGTAGGCCACGCTTGGCATTGACGATTGCAGTACCAAATAACTCGCAACTATGACACTGCTACTCGTCGCCGGTCTGGTAATTTACGCTCGTAAAAAACATAGTTATATCGTCATTTATTTGAAACCTATAACATTTTTGGCATTTGTTTTATAGAATAAGGATGACAAACGAACACACAGTCCACCCGATGGTAACTGGATACAGTGGCACATAGACAGCTACATTTATCCTCAATTAAAAATTAATATGCAAATGTCACAACTGAGGACTAAGATGGAATGCCTTGTATACAATAAAAAGGGTCTCCCGTTCTCTACACTCACCATACGAAACACAGCATCATTAAGCTGCTATTTTACGCTGGTATTCTGTGAAAGTGTAGGTTTTCCCCGGTCGAACCGACCCATTCGTGATTAAAACCATAATATAGCTGCAGAATGGCTTAAACACGTACAAAATTTCCCAAAGTCGCGTCTTAAGACATCGACGGACGAAACGTGTTTGATTTTTTTATCCCGAAGCCAAATGACGTTGCTGTATCGTAACATCAAAGTTATTACGTAATTTATTACTCAGTGAGTCGATGGCTGCGGATGGCTCTAGGGTGCTTTGTATCAGAATAGATTAGAATGTCTTTATGTACTTTGATTACGTTTTTTTGTAAAACTTAAGAGACCAAATCGCATCAAAAGCAATGTTATTGCCTCAAGTCCCCACTGCGAGGAGACCTTGTGAGAAGAAGCAGCAAAAAAAACTCATTGATGGACTATTTAAGGCAGTCCAACTAATAATAAGTGAATACTGCAACCCATGCACTGCAGCCAACTTTTTTTTAAAGAATAACGTTGACAAACGAGCCCACAGTCCACCTGATGGTTAGTGGATGTTTGGCCCACAGAGATCTACGTTTATTCTCGATTACGAATCACAATGTAGTTTCCAGTAAAAAGGTCTTTTCAACGTGATAGAGCTACGCTGGAGCTGTTTTGGTTATAGTACGAATGAGTCGGCTCGACCGGGTTAAAACACGCTCTCACAGCATACCAGCATAAAATTGCAGCTTAATGTTGCTGTGTTTCGTATGTTGGATTTAGAGTAGTGTAGAGCTTTGATTATATACCTAACAGGAATATAATCAAAGGTGTAGAGAACTGGAGACCATATTTACTTGAATTAGGGCCTTACAAAAGATCGTTGCATTCAACCAGTTGGTAGTATGCAAATATTATTAGTGAGCTGAGTTTCAAAGAAGTGAAGACTTGCTAGATTAGACTAATTACTGTATCACTTACTCTGTGGAACGGTATTTTCCTAATAATCTTAAAAAATTATTAAATTGGTGTTGGTAATTGCCTGGACATATTGCAGAATTAATAAATTATGTAATTATTATATTATTTAAAACGAGTAACTTTAAATTTATTTAAAGGCAATACGCAATGCGTGGATTTTAATAACGGTAACGGTAACGGTTTGTAGTTATTGTATTATTATATTACACAGAGCCGTGGTAGCTCAGATGATTAACGCTCGCTGTACCTAAATGTAACAGAACGCGAGTAACCCGGCTTCGATCCCCGCCGGCACCAATGAAATTGTTAATTGCAATTTTAAGTGCTGATTTACCACGTGCTCGACGGTGAAGGAAAACATAGTGAGGAAACCTGCATGTCTGAGGAATAAGAAAAAAATATATTTTTTCACATGAAGTTCGCCAACACGCATTGGGGCAGCGCGGCGGACACTTCCTTACCCTAAAACCCTCTCAGAAATGAGAGGAGGCCTGTGCCCAGCAGTAGGACGTATATAGGCTGTAACTTTACTTTTTTATTAAAAATTAATTAATAATTAAAGTGTATGTGTTGAACTGTACTTGAGGTGAAATGTCGGAACAACAAATAAAAGTAAATTCCGATTATCCACTCCGCCTGGGGTGATCTTATCATTTATAATCTTAACTTGATAATCTTGACATTATTGATCTTGAGATTATTATTATTAATAGAGATAAAAATTGAGTGGCTCTAGCTAAATCTATCGTGATTGTAGTTTTGGCATCCACATCTATAATAATAATAACAGAATCTAATCTTGACCTTCAACATGTGTCCATTGTGAATTGTTCCATAGAAATACAATCAATGTGTCCGGAATAACTCTTTGTTCCTAACCTTTTTGGACAATGGATGTGAATTGTGTAGTACGAGTATGTTATATATTACGTTCACCAACAAGGATAACCTTAATACTTCTAAGAATATAATATTGTTCATTGGTAGATTTTGCCGGCTCGTTAGGCGTTTAGCTGTTTAGCGTTGCGGGTTGAGGTTCGTATTTCGCACGAAACAAGTAATATGACTTAAAATAATTGATACACGTCTGGGGTATTTGTTCTAGGGTACCTGTCGTAATTTTTCCTAGAGCAATTCCTAGTGTTTAAGAAAACTATTTAATTATTATAATAAAGTAAAATTTTTGAAAAAAAAAAAGACGTTACCTCCACCTCCAATATACAAATTGCCTCCACCTCGTGGAGACAGCTGGTATATGTAAATGGTATATATAAATTTCGCAAGGATAAACATCCAAACCCGGAACAATTATTTGTAGGCCATACAAATACTTGCTCCGGGTGGGATTCGAACCCACGACCCTGGAACTCTGCAACTCATTGCTAAGCCGCTGCGAAACGAAGCTGCCATCGTGGAATGTCCGCTAGCACAGACTATGCACTCTCTACGTCTTTTGTCTCACTCTAATGGTCCGATGTGACAGCAACCCGACACGACCGGATGACCGGAGAGAGATCACGCATATGACTGACGACCTTACGTGCTTTCCGAGGCACGGACGTTGAACACCGCCAACTTCCAGACTCCGGGCTGATACTGAGAATTTCTTGCCAGAAAAAATCAATAAATAATATTGGCCCGATCTGGGATTCGAATCCGGATGCAAAAAAGTAAACAATTTACAAGTTTTGTACGTGGTAGCCACGCTGCAGCTACGAGTATATTATGATTGTAGCACGAAATGGTCGGCTCGACCGGGGAAGGCCCACGCTCTCAAGAATGCAAGCATAAAATGTCAGCTTAATGCTGCTGTGTTTCGTATGGTGAGTGTAGAGAACCGGAGAACCTTTTTACTGGAAACGAGGCATTCCATCTTAGTCCTCAGAGGGACAACGCTACTGCATTTTGATTCTTAATCGAGGATAAATGTAGATGTCTATAGGCCACAGCATCCACATGTCATCAGGTGGACTGTGTGCTCGTTTGTCACCCTTAGTCTATAAAAAATCTTCTGCTTACTGATCAGTTCCGCTTTGTCGGTTACTCTGGTTCTACTGTGAATATTTTCATTACAAATAGTATCACGCGTATCTATCGTAATATAAACTGATTAAGAATTATTTTGTTCTTCTGTCCAGTGACTCAGAATACCACGAACCTTCACGTATTGAACGCGAACATCGAGGAGCTGGACGTCTCTCAGGCGGTGTTCCGACGGCTCTCCTCCATGGCCTTCACCGATGGCAACATTGGAAAGATTGTCGGTAAGCAAAACAATTCAACTTTGTATAGTTAAATATAATGAAAGATACGGCATTGATAATTTGAAACTACATAATAAGTTATGAACGTAAAGCGTATACGTCGAGCAGTAGGTTAGATGGAGGTAGAGTAGGATAATGAACTAGAATCGAATTCCTCAAACTTAGCCCCACGTACCCCTATTAGATTAACCAGACAATAGAGAACCTAGGGTAGGCTAGGCTATTAAGTTATAACACAAAAAACAAAACAAAATGGAATTGATCGGTACGAATGGCATAATGCATAAATATTCAGTTTGATTATCATTACATCCCTTCACAAGTACACCGCTGAACATAGGCTTTTCACAAGGAACGCCACATAGCACGATCCCGAGCCACCTGCACTCATTGACTTCCTGCATGGCTTACCATGTCGTCACTCCATATAGTGAGGGGACGCACTACACCTCGCCTGCCGGTACAAGGCTGTCACTCGAGAATCTTTCCTTCCCATCGGTGAACGGTTCTTCGAGCTATATGTCCGGCCTATTGCCACTTCAGCTTACTAATCCGTAGGGCTAGTTCGGTTAGTCTGGTTCTACTATGGATATCTTCGTTTTTAAGTCTATCACGCAGAGAAACTCCAAGCATAGCCCTCTCCATAGCTCGCTGAGCGACTTTCAGTTTCCTCATATGGCCGGCAGTGATGGACCGCGTCTCCGATCCATAGGTCATCACTGGAAACATACACTGGTGATACAATCCAAATTAGGAGCCCAGCCGAATTGAAGTCGTCGTTTGACCCGCGGTCGAAGTTGGACTTACCTACCTAGACGTCCTACTATTTGACCCTGGTAAATATACTCGTATAACAACTTCGAGCTTAGTGCTCTCAACAGCTACCGGCATAGGTGTGACATGGACGTACTGTTCGTTGGGAGACATTATTGAGGTCATTTAGCTGTTAATATTCAAGGCTCATCAGAGGCACGACTACTTTTCTACTAAAAAGTCCCTTTGGGTAAGAACCTACTTATAGATTTCTACGTGGAATAGTCTTAAAACAGGTGGAACGGTCGGTTCGACCAGTAAGGACCACGCTCTCACAGAATACCAGCGTAAAATTGGAGTTTAATGCTACTGTGTTGCGTATGGTGAGTGTAGAGATCCGGAGACCCTTTTTACTGGAAACGAGGCATTCCATTTAGTCTTCAGGGATAAAAACACATCCTTTATTTACAATCCAAGATAGATATTGATGTTTATGGGCCCACAGCATTCCTTTTCCATGCGGTGGACAGTAAGTTTTTATTTCTACTTGTTATAAAAGAAACACAAGAAATTAATTAGTCCATATGACCTCATTGAAGATTGAGGAACATTGAATTAATAATCATAATTCTTTTTGCGCAATCACGCTTAAGCCGAAGATGTGTTTCTAGAAGAGAAAAGAAAAAATGTTGGCAGTAAGTAAGCAGTTATATCGCATTTTATATTTGTAGCTTAAGTAAAATATTTGGTAGAAATAAGGCTGTATATTGTGTGTGAATCGTTTTATTTTAAGTAGGCTGTAAATGAACCTTAAAGGTATTATTATATAATTTTAAAGCAAGCTTGTCCTGTCTTCTAGACCATAGAGATTAGAGGAGAGAGAGAGAGGGAAAGAGAGCGAGAGAGAAATAGAAGGAAACAGAGCAACAGAGAGGTAGAGAGAGAAGGAAAGATAGAGAGAGGGGGGGAGGAAACAGAGCTAGAGAGAGGGGGGAGGAAATAGTGAGAGAGAGAGAGAGAGAGAGAGAGAGAGAGAAGGAAATGAGGAAGGGGAACAGGAAGAAGCTTCTTGAAGTTTAGGTAGAATGAGAGTCGGCGACTAAAATTAGACGTAGGACAATTTTTTAAGTGGTAGGACTTCTTTGTGACTAGGATTCCGTCTGGGCCAAATAACAGAACATGCACTGCTGTGTTCCGATGTCATGGGTATAGAGAGCCAATATTACAGGCGGCATTACATCGCGGTCGTCAGAGGTGACAGCGCGTCTGTCACCTCTGCCTTCTTTGTAAAGTTATATGGGCTGCAGTTGCCACTTATATATCAATATGTTCGTCATTGTAAAAGGAGTGAGTGAAAATTTTACTAAAATTCGTTAATTTCAAAGAGCATGTAAAGATAGAAGCTAAAAAGCAACGAAAGTTAATGTGAAAAGTGATGGAAGTATGGCAATAATTTAGGTACGAAAGAGAATGATAGAATGACGTACATAAAAGAGTGTGCAAGCGAGATAGATTAATGTACTATGTAAGTAAATTAAAAAGAGAGAGTAGATTATTTTTCGTAATGGCGAAAAGCGCTTTATTTTATATTAATATTGTTCTTTCATTGAAGATTTGAAACTGATCTTTTAGTTCTTCGCTCTCTTCGTTCTCATACTTTATGAATCACATTCGTTCTCCAGGTCAGTTCCCGAAGCACTCCCCGATTGCGTGCCTCAACATCTCTAACAACAACCTAACAAGCGCTAAGCTGCAGCCACCGATACAGCGTCCGTACGCCTACCTGTTCAACCTCACGATGCTGGACGCCTCCGCGAACAATCTCACAGAGTTCCCGCTCAGCCTCGTGCACAGCAACCGCAAGATCTCCGTCGACTTCTCGGGTGAGTGATCCCTATTTTCTTCCACCAAGGTGTAGTTAGTGCAGGAGAACAGAAGGAACCGACATAACGCAATGGATCAGTAAAATTAAGTGGAAATGGGCCTGCCATAGCACGAAGAACCATCAAAGAATAAGGAAGAATGGTTCTTGAGTGGTTATCTCATACCCGTAAGATCTCTAGACGAAGTGACGTCTTGGTAAAGTATGTAGAAATTAGATGGATGCAGGTGGCTCATGACTGAGCATTGTGGTATTCCTTGCGGGAGACTTATGTACAGCAGTGAAATTCTAAAGGGAATAATAATGATGATGATGATGAACTTGCAATCACTAAGTTATTAACATCGTCCTTGGGTCATTTTAACTCCTTATTAGAATCTCTATAAAAGGTACCGTGGTAGCTAATGGCACTCGTCTTAAAATTTTGCATTACGCCATCGAAGCGTGTTCAATTCCAGACGGCGTCACTAAAACTGTTCATTGTTACTTTGTTGTTAATGTGTTGATCATTTAATAACAAAAATGTAAGCATTATTAAATGTTAACCAAACGCTCCGCGTGTGGGGGGTTCAATTTTAATTAACTGTATCGATTGAGTTATATATATTTTTAAATTGTTATATTTCTTAACGAGCTGTTTTCGCTGCTAACGATCTCTAAGAATTAAAATTCTCGGACGGACTCTCTTAATGAGCTCAAAAGAAGATTGAGCGGCAAGTTTTTGCTCGGTCAAGCACGCAAAAAGGGTCGTTATCGACGTAATGAATTCATCCAGCTCGCACACTCAATAACGCAGACGCATAAGGAAAAAGAGCCTAGCAGACGTATAATATAGTGAATAGGGGTTGTCATGATCTTTGATGACAGGCCTCCGTTTATTTCTGACAGGATTTTAGGACAATTTAAAATTCGCTGCACTGCCTCAACTACATTTGTTACAGAATAGGTATAAAGGTGTAAAATTCCCGCGAAAAAATATTCATATGGGCTGTGGAGTGTAGAAGTAAGGAGTACAGACTGTGTTTTAAAAAGTGTCCATAAAAAACCGTTAAATAAGGGTGGCGCCACTATAGCTACGGGGTAAATTTTAAAGAACGCACCGAAGAATATTAGTGGGATAGACGAGGTGGATAGTGGACGAGTGGGATAGATTTTTCGAGGTTATATTTACTAAATAAAATTATTTTGGATTTTAGAGCTACTGAGCAGTTTAGCAGCACACTTAAACCGTCGACAACTGCTAAGTTCATTTCATCCCAGTAGCTACTCCAGCGCTGTTGTGGAGAGTTTTTGAACTGTTATTTACTGCTTACAGATGACCACTTTTTCAATAATTATTCTACTATGGGAGTTGGTACTCCTTACTTTTACACTCTATAATATGGGCTCCCGCTGCAGCGCTATGGCGCGCGTATGCACTCATAGACACGTGTTTCATATTTTTTGTTTGGAGATATCTGTCTTCTCTCGGTAGAGAGTAATTGTGTTCTGTGACCCTGGGTATATGTTTGCAATTTAGTATTGACAGTATAGACAGACCGACAGTACAGCTGCAACCTGCGACGGCGCGCATCTCGAGCGGGAAACCGGTTTGACGAGACCGGGGGGGGGGGGGGGGACTGGGCTGTGTGGCCGACGGCCGCGTCGACGGGTCTCGACCCTTCTTAGTGAGCGAGCCGTGTCGAGAGGTCGCGAGTTTTTTGATAACGATTACGGCTTCGATACGCCGGCCTCTATTGTGTTGTATTCAACGACAACGAGGCTTATTCTTGAGTTTATTTGCGCGACGCCCGGTTCGATTATACGTCACGAGCCTCTTACAGTGTTATCTTAATTTGTTTTCGTGATAACGAGGCCGGAATCATATAATTGTTGTTGTAACCGTTTTAAGTATTGTTTGTAACTGGTTTACGTGGTAGAGCCATGCTGCAGTTATATTAGTAGTATAGTTGTAGCACGAATGGGTCGGCTCGACCGGGGAAGGACCACGCTCTCACAGAATACCAGCGTGAAATAGTAGCTTAATGCTGCTGTATTTCGTATGGTGAGTGTAGAGAACCGGAGACCCTTGTTACTGGAAATGAGGCATTCCATCTCAGTCCTCGCGGGTGACAACGCATCTGCATTTTGATTTGTAATGGAAGATAGATGTAGATGTCTATGGGCCGCAGCAACCACTTACCATCAGGTGGACTGTGTGCTCGTTTGTCACCCTATTCTATAAAAAAAAAAAATACAGTTGCGCGCGGCCGGTGTTTGGACTTGAAGGCCTAACTTGTGTTAATTGTGCGCGCCATTTTGAATTACTATTGAATATTTGGGTCTAATTAGACCGCCTCGAATTTAGCTGTCTGTTTTGAACGTGTTACAACAGACCTAATTTGAGTTTGGAGTGATTAAAGGAACTTTTATGCCGTTAATTGCATCGACGAGTTGTTAGTGCGTCGTTTGATAGCGTGATAAGACTTTTACTTTGGCGGGAGAACGCTGAACTTGTGCCTCGAGAAGAGACCGCGTTCGTTCTCGTGGTTATATTTTTGTGCTAAGTGAACCTGGGACCTTGAACTTTGACCAACCGTCCTTCAGTTGTGCAGCGTGTCATTTGTTTTAATGTCGATTAACGTTGATTTGTACACACGTACACGTCACATTGTACACATTACTACACACTACTTACACGCACATCACTTCCCACCTGACAAGTACCTCGTGGTCAACCCTACCTCCGCCAATCGGTAAGTGGTGCTTGCTTCTTTGTCAGCCGGTTTTGGAATCTTTATCCATAGGTCATTGGACCCTCCCCTCTGTTACTCGTCGAATTGGGCTACTGTGGGCCCTAGCTCAGTCGACCTTGTCGGGGTAACTCAGGGCCGTAACACAATGAGTGTTTTATTTTATTTTATGTACTGTACATTAAATTAAATAAAACACATAATGATAAATTTTACCTTTCTGCATTCCTTCCCCCATGTTAACTTTTACTATGCCAAATCTCATACCACTTCGTGTCCCCAATATGCTTAAAAAGGGGTACAAAGTTTTACCTCCACGTATTAATATAAAGATATGGAGACAGCTATACTACAGCTTTTTATACGTGGTAGAGCCATGCAGCAACTATAATATGAAATATCAGCTCAATGCTGCTGTGTTTTGTACGGTGAGAGGAGAGAAGCGGAAAGCTTTTTCTGCTGGAAAAGAGGTATTCCATTATAATCCTCAGAGGAGACAACGCATCTGCATTTAGATTCTTAATCGAGGGTAGATGTGGATGTCTATGGGTCAGGTGGACTGTTTGCTCACCCATGTTCTATATAAAAAATAATACCAGAACTCCGTGTTGTTAGGTAACAACTACCTGCCGTGCAAGCACTTCCAGAAGGCGATGGAGACGAACAACAGTTCACTGGTGACGTTCGTGAACTATGAGCGCACTTTCTGCGCTCTCGACTTGCGCTTCAACTGGTTCAAGGACGTGCAGATCGTACAGATCGACCACTTGCGGGTACAGAAGGAGGTGAGATATTTTGTCTATTCATTCATTCATTTATTCATTCGTTCGTTCATTCATTTATGAGACCATTCTCGCCAAATACCAGACGGCAAAGTTAGTCAAAATCTATACCTACCGTGTATTTGCTTTGTAAGAATATCGACTACCCCATATCGTAACAGTGTCGTAAGAGGCAACGGAGGATAATAAATCAGGAGAGGGGCAGTAGCATCTTCCTGATAAGAACTCAAATTAATAAAATACTGCCGTTGCCAACTCGCTTGCCAAGCGTGTGGCAACTACGGAAAATCCTTCCTATGAGTCAATCATAGAAATCTAAAAATAATATGCCGAACATGTGACTGCCACAAGCGCGCGAGGAGCGTTTGTTTCGGTCACCAGTGTTGTTTCGGACGCAGAGACGAAAATTGGTGTTTTATAGCATATCCGATTGCGGAAATTCTTCCACAACTTATAAATTTTCAAATAAAGGGATAACATTTCATAAATAAGTACTTCGTGTTTTAAATAATGTTGTTTTTAATGAAATATACTTAAATAAAATTCCTCTGGTACTACGATTATCTCCGAAAATGTTTTCACATTTCTATATCCATTGATTCTTAAGCTAGTTCGTGTCTACGAGTACGACAGCTAAAAGGTGGTGTCGGAAGTGGGATAAAATCACGCCGATTTTACTGAAGGACAACACGGAGGGAGACGGACCAGAGACGATTTGGTGGTGCAAGGCCGCACACGTCGGAGGGCCAGCTGCCGGCCACGGAGGCCGGCTCGTCAGTAGCTCCTACATCTACAGCACCTGACTTTGGTGCTCTGATGGTGATGCTGCAGGAGCAGGCTCGTCTACAGGGGGAACAGGCCCTTTGATTGAAAGAGAAGCAGGAGGAACAGGCCCGTTGGTTGAAAGAGCAGCACGTGGAACAGGCCCGCTGACAGGAGGAACAGGCCCACTGACAGGAGGAACAGGCCAGTCGTTTGGAATAGCAGCTCAAACGCGATAAGGAAGAGCAGATGCTCCTCATGAAGGACATTCACGCTACCTTCGGGGAAGAGATAAGGGATAAGGTTGCTCAACATGACTACCGCTGTCGGAAGCTGAAACCCGAATCGACCAAGTACACAATCGGGTTGACAACGTAATGGCTGACATGAAGAAATCACTGGACGAACTCAAACTTTTGAATGGAGGTATGACAGTTCCCGTAGTAGCTACTAAACCTTCGCTACGTGGGTTCAAAGTGCCGCCGTTCGACGGAAACGCCTTAACGAACGAGGAAGTGACTTATGAGCAGCTCCTTGAAGCATTGGAGGCGAGATATGGCGACGCTCACCTGGAACACATCTTTCGTGCGCAGCTTAAAGATCGCGTGCAACGCATTAACGGAAACCTGCAGCAGTGGGCTCTTGAGGTGGATAAGCTGGTGCGAAAATCATACTGGTCTGTACCTGCGCTCATTGAAGGGAACCATTCATCGACAGCATCCGCGACCTTGAAGTCAGAGCTGCTGTGAGGCTTGGGCACCACGAGACGCTTGAGGACGCCTTGGCCCATGCACTGGAAGTGGAAGCCGTGCGGCAGGATCATCATTCCCATCGTGTCAGGGAGGTTGCAGCAGCTACAGTTCGCGACCGCATTAAAGGATACAGCCCTAGGTGCTATGGCTGTGGGGAAAGGGGCCATCTTCGATCCAGCTGCCCTAAGCGAACTATAGAGAAGGAAGGCGATCGATCTCGAGAGGGTAGTGCGGCTAACGGCACCACCCAGCAGCGACGGGATCATCGTTCCCATCGCGCTAGGGAGGTTGCAGCAGCTACAGTTCGCGATCGCAATAAATGATACATCCCAAGGTGCTACGGCTGTGGGGAAAGGGGCCATCTTCGATCCAGCTGCCCTAAGCGAACTGTAGAAAAGGAAGGTGAGCGATTTCGAGAGAGTAGTGCGGCTAACAGCACCACCCAGCAGCAGAAAGAATACGACTTTGTGATCGAACATCGAAGCGGGAAATCTCATGGCAACGCAGATGCATTGTCAAGGAGACCTTGTCCTGAAAATTGCAAGCATTGTACTAGGCAAGAGGATAAGGAAGTGGTATCTGTGAGGATGCTCAGGACAGACCACCTCAGCAACAAGTGGAAGGACAGCTTACAACATGCACAGCAGGAAGATCCGGACATCAAGCCGATTCTGGAATGGATGAAGGCCAGTGCTCCCAAGCCCAAGTGGAGCGACGTCTCAGCGATGAGTTCGACCACTAAAAGCTATTGGGCCCAATGGGACAGCTTGCTGCTTCAGGATGGAGTTCTGAGCCGTAAATGAGAAAATGGTCGGGAGACAGCTGTCATTTGCAAATGAAAAAGTATGTTCTACAGCTGTACCATAATGATTGTTCAGGAGGCCATCTGGGAGTTAAACGAACTCTACTGAAGATCCGAGAACGGTTTTACCGGGTCCACTGTCGAAACGATGTCGAGGACTGGTGTCGCAAATGTACAAGTTGTGCGGCTGTAACCATGCCACCATGCACCTATACATATATTTATTTGTTTGTTGTTTGTATAATGTTGTATTTATATCATTTAAATATCTGTTTAATTGAAATAAATACAACTAGATTTCCAAAAGATCCGGATATTAAAGATAAATGGATATACTTATCCTTAACGCTTTATTATATCCCTTTTCTCTAATTATAAAACATCTAAAAGCTAAAGCTAAGACTAAAAGCGTCGATTGCTGGGACATATTCAGTTAATTAGTTATATCTCGGTGTGAGACTCCTGGACGATTAACGACGCTTAATAGAAAGTTATCGAAACGTGCTTTGCGCTGCACTATGTGCAAGTGGAGTGAACGCACAATGTCATTCTCTGTTTTTCGCACGCGTTAATTATTGGACCGAGGGGCTACGATTCCTGAGTAAATTTTTATAAAAACGTACAATATTTTTATAAAATATTCCTTAACGCAATAGTTTTATAGTTCAATCTTTGTTGCATGAATGATAGAGATACGTGTAGGCGAAATTGTGTATTTATTTTTTTGTCTATGTGTGATAGCTGCGAACCGGTGAGACGCGTACCGATATTAAGACAGTAGAAGGCATTTATAGTGCCTTATTATTTAGATTTCTGTGGAGTCAATCTACGGGGGAGGCCCATGTAAAGCAGTGAATTTTTATAGGCTGTAATGATGATGATGATGATTGGCGTGCAAAATCTTTACTTACTCATATACTGGATGACCTTTTTTACCGTCTGGACACAAATAGCGTGTAGCGTATGAACGAAGTAGAAGCCTATGCCAATGATATTTTACAAATAAATAAATAAAAACAAAAAAATTTAATTAAATAAATAAATATATTAAAATCTATCGAAATTCAAATCATATCTACCCTACTTTACGAACGGCAATAAACGAAAATTTTGTAGGCATCTTTAACTGTCACTTCGGGCAAAAGAGCAAAGAAATCTTTCAAAAAAATATTTCAAACGCTTAATTCAAAATTTTTGTTTTTATCTATTTTTTTCAGCTAAACGCCAGCTGTCACAAAATCAAACCAGCGAACATCAACTGCACTTGTGTTCCCGATCGTCTGGAACTGCTGGGCGACGAGGTCACCAACTTGGTAGCTGTGGACTGCTCCCAGCGACATCTCAAGGAGATGCCCACAGACCTGCCCCCCAACACTGTAAAGCTCAATGTGTCATACAACAACGTGAGTACTATTTTTTTTTATAAAGATATAAGGGTAACAAGTGAGCACACATTCCACCTTATTGGTAAGTGGATGCTGTGGCCCATAGACATCTACATCTATCCTGGATTAAGAATTAAAATGCAGATGCTTTGTTAAATCTGCAGAGTAAGAAGAAATGCCTCGTTTGCCAGTAAAAAGGGTCTCCGGTTCTCTACACTCACCATACGAAACACAGCAGCATTGAGCTGCTATTTAACGCTGGTATTCTGTGAGAGCGTGGTCATTCCCGGTCGAGCCGACCCATTCGTGGCAGAGCCATGCTGAAACTATATTATAGCTGAAGCACGTCTCTACCACGTAAAAAAATACAAGGTAACCCCCTCAACTCCCAAGATTTTCTTTTGTTTTCACACTAACTGATCCCCGCGACTTCGTCCGCGTTTCTATATCGCGATTGGATTTATTAACGGTTTTAATTTTTTTGCGCGGAGCTCTAATTCTGTTTCTAAAAGAAAAGAACCCTAAGTTATTCCTTATAACAGCTATCTGCCAGTGAAAGTCCCGTCAAAATCAGTCCATCCGTTCCGGAGATTAGCCGAAACAAAACACACAGACAATTTATAAAGTGTTTATTCGTTATAAGTACCTTATAACGAATAAACACTTTATAAAATGTTTGTGCATATATTAAAAGGCTGTTATTTTGACATTACAAATAAACACTTCAATTTTATTTATTTGTGTAGATGTAGGTAACCTGATGATGCCGTGAGACGACCGGTCGGTATTTTATAGTTAGTATATTAACGCATAAAATTAATTAATTAAAAAATAAAGTATATTAATTATTAAATATATAATAATTAAAAGTAAATATTGTAAAATAGGTTGAGTGCGCGAAAAGTGACCAAAAGTATAGCGGGGCGAACGATCAAGTGGACTGTATTAACGTGGTTCAAAGATAACCAAAACAAAATGGCGGACATGGCACTTGGCGGACTATAGACAATAATTGCTTTGAAATTAATTTTAGGCGTTGGCTGATATGATAGGAGATGAGTTGCTGCGGATAGAGGAACAACAAATAAAACAGCTCATAATAAGGATGGGCACTTACCTCGGGGAAGCGGCGAGCGGCCTCTCTCTTGACGGCCTGATGAAAATTGCGACGACGATGGCGGCGCGCGTATTCTTATAGCTTCCGCCATCTCCTGTTTCTACTTGGCGGAGCGTGCTTCTCATTGGAGGACCAAAGATGCGTCCACGAGTATCTAGCTCCCCTCTACTAGACAGGCCCGTGCGGGGAAGTAACGGAAGAGAGGTGGATTATGTCAGCCAATCCAACTAACAAATACATAAACAAATACGAAATGCAAGTGCGTTGGCGCAACCACAGGTTTTATCCAAATTACAAAAACGAAGCTGGACTTTCAACAAGTGACGACAATTGCAAATGTACATTTTAATTTATAGTCGAATATTTATGAGCCACAGCATCTATCTCGTTTGTCATTATCTCGTTCATCTACCATTATCTCGTTCGTCATCCTTTTCCTATTAAAAAAAAAACTGATGAGGAATATTCTTCCCCAGATAACATCACTGCAACCGGTGAGTGACGACCCAACATACGAGCACTTGAGGCAGCTGATCGTGGACTATAACGACATTGTGAACATCGTGGAGCTGGAGGGTACCAAGTTCATCGACAACTTCATGTACTTCTCCATCAGCCACAACAAACTTAAAACGGTATGTGAATATTATGTAATCTTCCGTCGCTCCTCTGGTTTTTATGTAATTAACCATTAGTAGATGCAGGAAGTCGATGGATGCACGCGGCACATAACCATGATTTGACATTCCTTGATAGAGGCATATTTTCGGAAGTGGACTTGTTATGATGATTACGATGAAATAGTCTTTATTTTTTTAATCAATTTATAACCAATTCACTTTATATGCTAAAATATTTTTAATATAATGTTCAATTTACAATGCGATGGAATAGAATGGAACGGAAGCGTTAATTTCGCCGCGAAGCGCGTGAAGGCGCGCGAATGATCGAGTATTCTCGTGACTTCGCCTATGTGCTATATGACAGTCACCTTGGGGCTGTAGGATAGTTAGTTCAGATTCCATGCCCTTCGCACCGTTTCCCGTGAATTCCACAGACTTCTCCGACAGTACTCACGGGAATGCTCGAGAATTCCCCGGAAAACGCGCGACTTCTTTTTTGGCTCATATCTATATCACCTTAGTAGTACCTCATCTCAAATTCTAATTTCGCCCCCACTTCCTCAGGCGTCGTATGCTATGTACCGACATGTTTGTAATCACTAATACTGTAAGTAGATAGGTCGTTAGACACTTATTTCATTAGGTTTATCATATTTATGCCTGTTTCTTAACGCCAACCCAGTCGCTTCTTATTTTTATTACGGTTATTTCCCATTTTAATTTTACGTCGTCCTGTTGCGTAATGTGTATTGTGATCGTAAATGACACAGCTTCAAAGGCCGAAACGAGACTGATCGGGCGGCAGAAAACAAGCTTCAAGACGCCGATAGCTTAGGTAATTTCTTTTTTCAGTGAAAATAATGGTAATAAAAAAAATAAAAAACATAAGCACTGCTTTATAGTTAGTTCAGTTAGTATGCAAAGTAGCCCCACATCACTGCTGATAGGGGGCCTGACATCTAAAAATGTTGACCCCACAACCATCAGATGGGTGACGTCGATGCTCTCAAACAGAAAGGCAAAAATAGAGCTGTTTCAAACTTCGATTGAGGTTGCAACTACAAGAGGCTGCCCACAAGGAGGTGTTTTGTCACCCCTTCTTTGGACTCTTGCGGTTGACCAACTATTCTACAAAATGTCAGACCTACGCATTGACACATTGGGTTATGCTGATGACCTTGTGATCATTGCGAGGGGCTTTTGCCAAAGTACTTTATCGTCAATAATATAAAGAGCCCTAAACACCATAAATAACTGGTGTAGGGATAACAGTTTATCAGTTAATGCTGATAAAGCTGTTATAATACCCTTTACCAAAAAGAGACGGTTGGAACAAATTAGTCCAACCAAAACTTAATGGCAAAGAAGTATCATTTTCCACGGAAGTTAAGTACTTGGGCGTAACAATAGACCAAAAACTAACGTGGAACTCTCACCTTAGCAGCGTATGCCATAAGGCAAAAATTGCTTTAGGTACGTGCAGTCGTCTGGTCTGGAACAACTGGGGCTTGCGACCCAGTATGGTCCTGTGGCTGCACAGCAGCAGAGTGAGGCCGATTCTCACCTACGCCTCTATTGTCTGGTGTAACAAGGCCAACCAAAAGACGACTGCGGACAGACTAAATAGTCTACAAAGGGCTGCCTGCTTAATGGCAACTGGAGCTATGCGATCATCGCCTGGAGCGGCTCTTAATGCACTTCTATGCCTAACGCCCCTTGATCTCTATCGAGACAAGGAGGCGAGGGCCAGTTTGTATAGGATTAACGCCCAGGGCGGTCTGAGCTTGCTCTCCTACAGATTGAAATCCATGATCGACTCAATTAAGGAATCAGCGGTTTTATGCATGATCTCAGATATCATGCCTCCACTACACACTTTTGATAAAAATTATATAGTGGAATTACCCTCCAGAGAAGACTTGCTGAATGGCCAGGTTATCTGTGAGGTTCTTTTCTGGGTCTAAAATGGACCTCGACGTAGGCTTTGGAATTTACGGGGAGCGCCCCAAATTCAAACTTAGTATGAATTTGGGTAGATACACCTCTACCTTCCAGGCAGAAATTTTCGCCATACTTCGGTGTGCGGAACAGTGGCGAAGCTTCCATTAAAGCCGAAAAGCCGGGCTTGCCTTATTAAACCTGAATCAATCAATAATATCAACTAATAAAATAACTCGTAAAATGTTTCAAGCTATTTCAAATTTCCCGCGCACTCCACTGTTCGACACATGTCGACCGATGACCTCGTATTGCCTTAGCGATACTGCTGCTGTCATAAAAAATGAGTTTTAATAGAGCTAATAGTTGTCTCCCTCGCTCGCGTGGGCTTTTTACGGGGCTTTCGAGAAGACGATCGCTCTCTTTCTAACCTATGGCAAAATATTCTATAATGAAATATAACTACGATTGTATATATAGCTATTAGTATAGAGATTTAAAGCCAGGCTTTTGGGAATAAATTTGTTAAAAGCGAAGGCGCGCGGGCAATACGTTTGCAAGTTCATTTCACGTTTCAATGTTTATTTACTCTGTGTGCTTATCTTAAGCGATTTATTATTACGAGTTCAAAATTTATGGTTTTTTAAAGATTTATAATTAAAATGGAGGATAATAGTGTTCCTTCTGATGAATTGAAGTGTGTTAAAGTGATAATCGGAGAGGAAATCTTCAAATTTTGTTGAGATAATACACAATTAAGAGTGTATCAGAACAATATCGCAATTAAAACAGTTATTGGTACAATTAAAACGTTCACCAACATTTTACGTGGACGTAATTAAATCTTTCCATAAGAAAGCGAGACGATTCCACTTATCTCTTATCCATTAGAATGTAAATATTTTTTTTTAATTTTGTACATTGTTTGTACTTTGTTCGTGTTTTACTTTTGTTCATGTATTGTATTGGATGTAAATATTTTTTTCTTTCGCTTAAACAAACCCAAACAGCTTTCTTCAAAGCCACCGAAGCTATGCAATTGCTGATATGTAATACAATCTATCTAGCAGTGGTATGCCTCTTGTGTGCTTTGTTAAACACGTCCTTGACAGCACTGAATATGAAACTGAAGCGTGGAGACAGATCAAGATTGGTGTATTTTTATAAAACTGTTAAAAACAACTATCTATATTTTTATCAATTTATATCTTGGGCTTGCCCTAGCTTGGAGCTCTAGCTTCGCCACTGGTGCGGAAATCAATCTGCAAAAACACTACGTCAACCATAAAATTTACATAAACTCTGATAGTCAAGCAGCACTGCTAGCGCTGAGATCAAACTTAGTGAACTCGAAGCTAGTTGGAGACTGCGTGAACCGTTTAAACGCCCTGGGAAGTAACAACAGGGTCGTTTTAAGATGGGTTCCGGGTCACGAGGGTATTGTAGGCAACGAATTTGCCGACAAACTTGCACGGGAGGGCTCAAAGTGCACACAATTTGGACCTGAGCCATTTTGTGGAATCTCAAGAAGCCTAGCCCGATTGACCCTTGAAACTCTTTATCACAATAAATCACTTAAGATCAGGTCTGACACACCAGGCTTAAAACATTCTAAAACCTTAATCCGAGCTTTTGATCGTAAATTCGCTTCAGAAGCCCAGGGATTAAGTAAAAATAAATTGCGCATTCTGGCAAGAGCCCTAACTGGACACTGTTGTCTTAAAAAGCACATGTCCATCCTGGGACTAAGCAACTTAAGGATATGTCGGTTCTGTTCCGATTAAGAAACGCCTCTACACATCCTAACTGATTGCGGACCCTCAATGCGCAAACGTAACACTCATCTGGGAAACTATGCTCCGCCCAGAAGAAGTGAAATTGCTCACGGCTAAGCAACTCCTTCTATTCATTGAAGACATAGGGCTTAGCCGTGAACTATAGCCATAGCAGCGATCACAATAGATCTCCTAGGTCGCAGTGATACTGGTCTCTTTCCCTAGACCTGCATAGCTGCTCGCATATAATAAAAAAATAGTATGCAAAGTTTCATGATCTAATTTAAAGTACTTTATGAATACCAGCGGTTTATTGTTCAGTTTGGAGGTAACTTTGGATTTTTTTCTATCGAGAAAATTGTACGGAATCGTGTTTTTATGTAACATAGTACTTAACATTAATCCTCAACTTTACCATATATTTATTTCAAAATTAATGCTGCAACATTTTCGGCATAACTGAGGATTTTGCTAAGCCATTTGAGTTACTATTGCCACTTAACATAAAATTCATTTTACTATGTACAATTTCGTTACAAAAATTCGCTTCCATTCCATTCCGTTGCAGTGTAAATTGAGCCTTAGGGTATACTAGTCTTTAAAATGGTATTATTTATTTATATATCATTCGGTGGACCTAGCAGGGTTAGACAAGTGGACTTTCTACAGCCTAATACGGGTAGAAAACCATAAAAATAAAATATCTCAACGTCGTTCATTCATTTTAATAGTTTTCAATTACCATTTACGATTGTAGATATCGTAACAGACCGTGTAGTGGCGGTGTATGAATATCCACTACCCCATATCACATACCGGGGGTGTCGTGAGAGGCGACAGAGGAAAACAAACCTGGAGATGGGCAGCAGCATCTTCCTTATAACATCTAAAAATAATGAACTGCGGTTACCAATCCGCTTGCGAAGCGTGGCCACTGTGACAAACATCCCCCCTATAAAACAACTTATGCGAGAGTCCTATGTTGATATAATGATGGTATAACAACCAGTAACTAGTTGTAGATATTTTTTTATAGGATAACGTGATAAACGAGCACACAGTCCACCTGATGGTAAGTGGGTGCTGTGGCCCATAGACATTTATCCTTGATTACAAATCAAAATGCAGATGCGTTGTCACCCGTGAGATGGAATGCCTCGTTTTTAGTAAAAAGGCTCTCCGGTTCTCTACACTCATCATACGAAACATAGCAGCATTAAGCTACTATTTCACGCTGGTATTCTGTGAGAGCATGGTCCTTCCCTGGTCGAGCCGACCCATTCGTGCTACAACTATAATAATAATAATGTCCTCCAGACCGAATTTCGGTCACGGCGGCCAGCCTCAACGGAGACTAGCCATCGGCGCAGGACGGATCAGGAAGGATTATAGTGCCCAAGTGTATGCGCAAGCACAGGTGCACTCTCTATTCCCTCATTCTCATAATCCGATGGGACGGTAAACCGACACGACCGGAGAGAGATCAGGCGCAGGACTAACGGCTTTACGTGCTTTCCGAGGCACGGGGGTGAGACACCGTCAACTTCCTGACTCCAGGCAGCTACTGAGAATTTCTTCACGGAAAAATTCCAGCCCGGGTCGGGCTGGAATTATTGAGTTTTTCCTTCAAACCCAGGACCTCATGATCAACATTCGCACTACTACAACCACTAGACCAACGAGGCAACTATACTACTAATATAATTGCAGCATGCTCAAAGTAAAGAAAGTAAAGTACTATTATACTGCTCAGCCCCCTTCTGAGAGGGTAAAGAAACTTACTTTTTTCTTATTCCTCAACATGCAGGTTTCCTCACATTACATCGTAGCATGGCTCTACCGGGTATTAAATATATAATCTATATTAAATAAAAAAAAGTCTGTTTCTGTATAATTCTGTCCTGCTCAAATAGCTAGTCTCCTCGAGACTAGCCATTGATGGATGTTGGCTTTAGGTGTCAATGAACTGTAGCCAATAACGATCTTGTCTGGTGGTCTACTTCACTTCCTCATTTGTCTGTTTACCTGATTTCATTAATCTTGAGATATATTTCAATATGTAGATACATACATACGTGCTGTCTAACAAGTTTGATATGACTGGCATTTACACCACGTTCTCGATCGGCGGAAACTACATACACTGTGACTGCAACACGGAGAAGGTGCTTAAGGTAAATATATGTACTTCTAGAACTTTACAGGAATGCGAGGGATGAATAAGAGAGAGAGAGAGAGAGAGAGAGAAGGACATAAAGCAAGTGTGTGTGAAAGAGAAGAACAAGATGAGACGATACGTGTATATATATATGTAGAATATCCACTATCCCATATCTTGGGTATTGTAAGAGGCAACAGAAACTGAGGCAGAAAAATCATTTGGATAACAGCAATAACTTTGCTATAAAAATACGGTTGCCAACCCGCTTGCCAAGCGTGGCACCTATGGCAAATATCCCCCTATGAGACAATCTGAGGGAAGCACAAACTAGATGCACGCGTGAACGAAGCCTTTTTTAAGTGGTGGACTACAATCACATGGAATAAAACTAATTTTAATTAATTAATTTTAAAATTAAACGCGATTAAATCCGTAAAATTAGTTTCATTCCAGGATTATATACGTGCAGATAAACTCCTAGGCCGAAAAGGCCATCAAGCACACTTACCGTCAAATCCATTGTTCTAAAATGTTGACATAGATGTCACCAATATCAGCTAAAGCTATGCTTGTTCCAGCCGTGGTTGCTGGAGAACTTTAAGAACATCCCGGACTACAAGAGTCTGGAGTGCGAAGGTGGTGGGGCGGTGGCAGAGCTCCTGGAAGCCGACGTATGCCACTCCCCGAGGGACTGGACCGACTACATCTACTACGTTATCGGGCTAGAGGTTCTAGTGCTAGTCCTTCTGGTAACCAAGGTCTCGTACGACTACTGGGTGTTCAAGAGTGCAGGCTACTTGCCCTGGCCCGCGAATAAAATGCCGCGGCTGCCTTGTGACTGGCTCTGCGAGTGACAGAGACAACACTATGCTTATGCCATCTTCGCTCGGGTACGTGCAATTTAAGTTTATTGCGACATTCATTTATGTTAACGTTAAAAAAATCTCTAACGTTCTAGCAGATTAGGAATGTGAACTTTGGTGCTTTTGACGTCCAATTATATTTTAGACATTATTTTTATAATTATTGTAAATGTAAATTAAAGGAAATTATAAAAGGGAGAAGGGGATAAAATACAATAATAAAACTATACACAGAGGTATTCCATAATAATGTCTGTCTTTACATTACAATATATTTCTGACTACGGTTCTCCTTGCACCGGAACAGAAACACCTGCATGTTAATTTACCACATTATCCAGGACATGGTCCATTTTTGTAACAAATTATAAATAAATAAAGGTAACTTATATATAAAATTAAATAAATATAACCTATTTTAGGTTTATGTATAACTTAAATAATGTATATTTAATTATATGGAGAGGATTTCCTGTAACCTTTACGGAAGTATCGTTTTGGACTTGGGCGAAGAGAAAAGAACTGGGAATCCTTTTAATCATTAATATAGGTATATTCCTCAATTATTGATGAGATGTTGTTACGTGTAATTTATGTTCAATCAGGTCGCCATAGAAGTAATATTTAGGAATTCTTTTCAATACTTATTAGCTTGTTCATAATGCTTAAATAGTTTATACTTGTATTAAGTTTATATTAACTTGTATGCCAAATAACTGGCCAGGAGTTGTTGAATCAGGGAATTTACTTATGATAGATTTTTTTAAAAACATTTTTTGTTTTAAATCAAATATTTGTTATTTTTGATATTATATTTACTGAAAAATTAATTAAATAAGAATGATAAAAGCGTTTGTTTACAATCAATGTCAATTTACTTGTTGTTTGTAGTTTCTTATCAATTTACTGGTGGTCCTTTTTGCGTCTGTACCAACTATTTTTTTATTCACCTATTTCAGAGGTGACGACGCATCCGTAGCCTTCTTTGTAGACATGTGTCAATCATTCATTTCTCGTGACCGAATCATTCTAGTACATTTCATCACGCGTACCGGTACATTCGGATCGATCATTCAAATGGATCATTTCGGACTCCAGTACCCTACACTAAAAACAATTCATTTAGATCATTAGGGATTCGGTCGGTTTTCACTCTTTCACAATTCACACCAATCACGAGTTAAAAAGGTTCCTTCAATTGTTTGTGATTGGTTGTATCGGAACATTCAAAAACAGATGAATGAACCATTAATACTTTTAAGTGTACCAGCTCAAACGAACGAATCATTCATGATTGACACATGTCTACTTCTTTGTTTAAAGTTCTCCAATGTGTCAAGTTCGTTTTTCACGTCAGTCGCAACAAAAAAATGTATTCGTGTATAATTTGTGTTAAATTATTTTTAGGAATCTCTTCATTTGACGCGATATATTATAATGTAATTAAATTCTATTTTCATATATGATAAAAAATATTTGTTATGAATCAAAATTTTTAGTATTTTTTTAATAATAATGTATATTTTTATTATAAAATGGTTTAATTTTTAAACGACTTGCTAATTGAGAATCCATTAAATTTAATAATGTTTAAGTTTATTTTACATAAGTAGGAAAGAACTGTTGTAGTCTTTAAGATAAAAACATAAAGAGGCTTAAATTTAAATAAAAATATGTATGCCGAGGCTTAATGCCTTTTTTGTAAAATAATTAATTATTTAGAAGCTGCAATGCCAAGCCGTGCCATATTTCATTTTGGCTGAAAAGAATTTGATTTTGTCTGTTAATTTGTTTTAAAGCGGAAACAATTTTTGTATATAATTGCAATGAAGACTGTATATTTTGTATGTTTCATATAATTGATTTTGACTAAGTAAAGAATATTTAAATAATTTGTTTTTAATTTACTTCTCTTTAGAATTATGAAATCTGTCATAATTTTATTGCCAGTAACAGTTCATTTTGAACTTTTCTACCCAGTAGTCTTTCTGAGTTTGTACGACACTATAACCTTTTTCTAACACCATGCTTGTTGTATCAACGGCTGCTGTATTGTTTTAATATTATGAAGAGAGAAGAGTTCTAGTGTGAGTCTTCATCTTAAGTCTCAGGAGTGATATGTTGAAGATGATTGCAGGTGTTTATGGTTACTTAAATATAAATAATAAGATATTTATGTAAGATATGTCATCTCTACTGGCATGGTGATCAAGCAGCGTTGCACCCACTGATGTTTCAGTTTAAGGGTAAAGAACCAATGTAATTATAGGCTGTAAGGCTATGTAATTACAAGTTATGATACAGTGTAATTACAGGCTGTGAGGCAGTGTTATTAATTACATGCTGTGAGATATTATAATTTCAGGTTATAAGACAATGTAATTGAGACACTGTAATTACACGTTGTGAGGCAGTGTAATTACAGGCCGTGAGACATGTAATCACAGCTTGTGATCCAGTATAAAATACAGGCTGTTAGTCCATGTAAATACAGGTTGTAATTACAGGTTGTGAGGCAATGTAATTACATTGTAATTATAGGCTATGAGACAATATAATTGCAGGTTGTGAGCCAATATAAATTACATTGTAATTATAGGCTGTGAGAAAATGTAATTGAAGATTGTGAGGCAATGTAATTACATTGTAATTATAGGCTGTGAGACAATGTAATTGCAGGTTGTGAGGCAATGTAATTACATTGTAATTATAGGCTATGAGACAATGCAATTCCATGTTGTGAGGCAGTATCATTACAGGGCTGTTACCGTTACAGTCTATCAAAAGTCCAGTGCCGAACACAGGCCTCCCTATAGATTGCTTCATAGTAGCATAGTTGCCACACTTATCAGGCGGGTTGGCAACCGCATTTTTTTATTTTTTTGTTGTTATTAGGAAGAAGCTGCTGTTCATTACTCACGGGACAATATAGGATAGTGGATATTTTTACATCGCCACTACACAGTCAAATACAGGCTGTGAGTCAATATAATTACAGGCCTAAGAGGCAATGTCATTAAAGGCTGTGGAAGACGTGCGCCTTGTATTCCGGTGCACTTGCTCTGAGTAGCAACCGGCGGGGGGGGGGGCAGGGGGGGGGACAACATTCTGTCACAAGTAGGGGAGGCCGGAATTGGTAGGGCCGCAAAACACTATGGTTTTATGGTTTTATTTTATGGGCCGCAAACTTTTGGTTTTTAGCCGGCGCAAGTACAACATTACCCGTACTTGCGTTCACGGGTACAGTAGAATAGAAGCAAGTTGCTTCTATTCTACTGAACACATTAGATTGTCTGTCACCCTTATAATAAAATAACAATATTCTCAAGCACACGGCGGCCCCCTACTAGATGGAAAGATGTTGATAAAACATAGGGAGTAGACATAGGTGGATTAGATCTAAGCTCTATGTTCATCGGTGGACTTATGGTGGGCTGCAATAATATTTAGAAAAAAAAAACTACTTCATGTTACAAAACTTATAATAAATTAATTAACTAGACGCCGCCGGCTTCACAAACGCTTTTTTCTTTCTCTTTTTATTAATCTTCTTTTCTTTTTTATTTTCTTTCTTGTCTCTGCCTTTCTTCTGCTTTACGAACTTCAGTTCTTGGCTGTACACCTTTCTTTGTTTTTTATTTCTGGCGTCGTTTACTGTTTGCGTGTCTTTCACTTTGTTTTCTTTATTTAAATCCTTTTCACTTTCCAATTTTCTCCTATAGAAAAAAATTCATAAATTCTAATCTATTCTAGTTGTGCTATATTTAATCTTTGTGTTATTAAATGACCTATTTATATAATCCTTAATTCTAACACAAATTGAATGTCCAATATATAACGGAATGGGTAATTAAATATAAGCAGTAAAAGAAATGGAAATCGGGAGAAAATATTTCGAATGTTTGAAAATTCCAATTCGTTAGTAAAAGTAATTCAATCTGAATTAATTCACTAGAAAACGTTAATAAAACAAAAAACTTCCGTTACGTTTTACGTATTAGAGGCAGTCAAATTTTAAAATTTATGATAATAGAAATACGCCCAACAGTTTCCTTCTGTCTTCCGGTTTGTTTCTATATGTTGCCTCTTTTTAATAGAAGCTAACGAGCATGCGGCTCACCTGATGGTAAGGGACCATGTTATGGGGGATATCGGCACACATACTGGTACTGGTATTCTGTGAAGTCGTGGTACTTCCACGGTTCGCATCCGTGCGACAGCAAAAGTGATCTTCTTACGACACCCATAAGATGAGGAGTAGTTGATATTCTTACACCGCCACTACACGGTAGTTAAAGTAATTACTCATGATCAAATACCGGAATCTACTACCGAGTAGTGGCGGTGTAAGAATATCTACATATTACCGAGTAGTGGCGGTGTAAGAATATCTATTACCGAGTAGTGGCGGTGTAAGAATATCTATTACCGAGTAGTGGCGGTGTAAGAATATCTATTTCCGAGTAGTGGCGGTGTAAGAATATCTATTACCGAGTAGTGGCGGTGTAAGAATATCTATTACCGAGTAGTGGCGGTGTAAGAATATCTATTACCGAGTAGTGGCGGTGTAAGAATATCTATTACAGAGTAGTGGCGGTGTAAGAATATCTATTTCCGAGTAGTGGCGGTGTAAGAATATCTATTACCCAATATCACCTCACGGGTGTCGTAAGAGGCCACAGAGGAAAACAAATCAGAAGATGAAGCAGCAGCGTCTTACTAATAACGACTAAAAATAAAAAAACTGCCTTTGCTAACCCGCTTGCCAAGCGTGACAACTATGGCAAATATTCCCCCTACGAGGCAGAGATTATAAATGTTTAATAGGGGAGGGGAGGGCTAGGTTCAGCAATCGACTTCAATAGGCTGTAACGATAACTGTAACTCATGATCGATTACTTGTCGGGTCGTTTCTCCAATATGGTGGATATTTTGTCTCGATGGGGCGCCTTCTTAATTAGCTTTTTCCTCTTGTTGGGGTTCTGCTTTAA